CAGTGGTTGTAATTTTGAGGATGGGTCATTTTTTCCCAAGGCCATCACAACTTCGAACCATCATTAAATGAACAGTTGTTGAGACCTGCCTGTAGTTACAGAGGGCCGTGTTACCATACTGCATTGAAACACCTACAGGAATCTTCGCTTGGTATCTAAAGTTGCAGGCTATAGTCTAGTTCAGGGGTGTCAAACTCCCATCGTCAGTGATGTCCCGTGACATATCAGGACTTCCCCCCTTCCTTTGCTAAACTGGGCGTGGCCAGCATGTGACACTTCTGCTCCACAAGCCGGGAATTTGACAGCCCTGGTCTAGTTGTAGATCAATTTGTCATAGTCATAGTGCTAACTTGAGGTGCCTTTTCTTTTCTTCCTTTTTCAGAGATCACTTGCGTGTCACAAAACGTCATCACTGTGCCGTTGCTGATGCCTCTGGTTACCCTGCTAGAACGTCAGACGGTGGTCTTTGAGGGAATGGATGTGTGGGAAAACACTGACCAAAGCTGTGATATCATGCTTAAACATTTGGCAACAGCTCGTTTCATAGCACAAAATGCTGAACAGTATAGTGCAAATGCAGAAAGGATCCTTACAGGTAGGGGGGAAAAAGAATAAGACCTCTTGGTATGGCTCTAAAGTTTTTAATAGTTAAGCTCATAAAAAGAGACACAAGTAGAATCAAGCCCACTGCTTCCACCCTTATTTATGTGCCCGACAGATTATTGTGTTTCTGGTAATTTAAAGGCAGCTTTACCTGAGTTGACCCCATGTCCCTTCTCATTCCCTGAACTGTAAACAGGAAGAGCTGGGATTGGACTGACTTTCAATGTTGCTTATGAGGAAATATGTGGCCTTTCTAGGGACTTTGCATGACTCATTTAGCAACTTTAGAACGTATTCCTAGAGGCTTTGGAGGAAAGCTGTTTCTAAGATGCTAAAAAGGGGTTGGAATGTTTTATTTTTTAAAAACAGTAAAGCTGGGGTTTAGTTTGGTTGTTCATTTTGTCATCGGAGGCAAAAATTTAGCCATGTAGGAAAATCAACAAGATGGCTGGGGAACTGGGGGAGTTGGAAGTCCACACATCTTCGAGCTGCCAAAATGAAGAAATACTGCTGTGTAGCCATTATTTGTTGTACATATTCTCTGTATGTTTCAAATGCCGTATTCATTCAACGTGGAGGGAATTTTTTTTTGCAATTGGCAGATGATTTAGATCAGGGGTTTCCTACTGGGGTGCTCGTACCCCCTGGGTGTGGCGAGATAATATTCCAGGGGGTGCAAAAATTTGGGTTTAGAAGTTTCAAAATTATTTATTTTTGTAAGAGGTGCAAGAATATATCAGAAGCGTTCTAGGGTGCAGGGTATAGAAAAGGTTGGGAAACCCCAATTTAGATCAACTACGGTACTTTGCCCATTGTATTGTCCTGTTTTCTCCAGGGAGAACCTACAGCAACCTCAAATCATCGGCTGCGGTCAAAGTGACGTGCAGCTGGCTTAAACACATGCAGCACTTGGTACCAAAGACTGTATTTTATAGTAACATTTGTACAATTCCATTTTCTTCACCAGGTTTTCAGCCAGATGACGCAATGAACGAAATCTTCAAAACAGAATTTCAGATGAGATTGCTCTGGGGCAGCAAAGGAGCACAGGTCAACCAAAATGAAAGATATGAAAAATTCAATCAAATTTTAACTGCACTTTCCCGAAAACTAGAACCTCTTCTTACCAAACAGATTGAACAAAGAAATGCCTGATGGATTCTCAGCTAAAAAAGAAATTGCTATACTTACCAAGAAAACACTTTTTTAAAAGGAAAGCTGTAGTTTATGTTGCTTATTTCTCATTTCCCTGGGGCAAAGACTGCCCCCCCCCCAAACCCTTTAAAACAAAATACTTCCTTGGGAATATTTGCTGCCTGCCAACTCCCTTCTATGCTGCTAGTATGATTAAAAAAAAAAACCGTTAATTCCCCAATCCCTCCCCCCCAAAAAAACAAGTTTCAAGCCAATCAGAAACCATATAGCAAACACAGCATCTATACCCAATTGAGAAGCAGGACACTGCTTCATGGATTATTATTCTTATTCCGAAGGAACTGCCATAACTCTAGATGGGGTGTGGAAGACATGGTTATACAGTCAAAAGGTTTTTGTAAAGTTCCTCTGACATCAAGCAGAATTTGTAAACTGTATTTATGTACATTTATTTATAAGTTGCTAATAATGATTTGATTTATAAAGGATTATTTATTTCTTATGATTGTTACCTTTCATGGACACCTCCAGTCCACTCTAAAAAAGCAATTTTAGGACTTATATCCAATAATGTTATTAACAGTCTGTTTTGTAAACATAAAGTTACAGAAATGGCTCTTTAGGAGGTATCAGTTGTATGATATCCCTTAAATAGATATGGAAATTTTTTATAATAGCTGTGAATTAAAGAGTAACACTTGAAATATTTTATGCCTTATTTTATTGTTTATGCCTTGTTATATTGTCAATGAAACACAAAATGACTTGTTTGGGGACTCAACACATCAACTATATCAATGTCCACTTTCACACTGTTTAAGGTGGTAGCAAGATTCTGTGCTTCCCTTTTTTGCTGCTGCCATATTGCTTCTTAACTTTGGAATGGCATTGATAAAATTTACTTCCTCTCAAACATAAGTCGCCTATTCCCGTAATAGCTTAGGGTAGCCTATTGTAAACACAACTGCAATTAAAAGCAGTTAAAACAACAGTATTAAAACACCAGAATTGTGAATCGTAAAAGCAGATCAAAAAGTATGGGCAAATCTGTGTGGTGTGTGTATGTGCACACATATATAGATTGGCCATTTTTATGTTTGCCATCCAAAACTGAAGGGACAGCATGGGGTACAGTCTTGGAAAAGAGTGAAAGCTTTTCTATGGATGGGCATTTCTGGTTGTGTGAAATAGTAGGCAGCAATGACTAGCATGTATTTGCTGATGAGAGGAAGGCCGGAACTTTCCATAAACAACTCTGTTGGACATAGTTTTCAGAGTGTCCAATATTTACAGTCAATTTTATGTTCTATTCACTCACTTACTATAGTCACATTACAAATTCAACCCTTTTCAATGCTTTCCATTGTCTATGACTTTTTCCAACATCAACAATATTTTGAACTGTGGACCTGTAAAATTGAAGCCTCTTGATGGCATTTATCCATATTGCTTATCAATTGTGTTTTCTATGAAGTTACTTTAAACGTCATCAGGTATCTTGGCTTAACAGACACAGATCCAAATATTTTTATATCCTGCAACTTGGAAACTTTTGTTTTCCAGTGACTGATTCTTCCCATACTACTTCATATGGATTTTTTTAAAAATCAAAAGGCTTTAAAATATCTGTATGTCTTCCACCATTGCAGATTTTTAAAAAAACAATTCTCAAGTGAAGGAATTAGAGAGACCTGTTTCACTACTAGTTTTTACAAGCAGTAATGAGTTAAGTGGCTATAATACTTGTATAAATTTCACCAGATGAAATTTGTGGTGATGTTGCACTACCAAACTTGTATCTTACTGTTCACCGTGAGCTAAATTAGCTTTTTTTTAACCTTCCATGATGGATATAATTTAAAAACATATTTTTTCTTAGTTCTACTTATAAAGACTTTTGATTTTAACCAGTAATACAATTTATTGTCTAACCCAATTAAGGTCCTACTCTGAGAGAAGAAAAGACATGATCTCTTTTTCTCTCTCTCTCCTAATCAAATATCCAACAACGACTTAAGGAAAAAGAAGACATCTATCTTCCTCTTTGTACTCTGGAAGTCATGGTGAGCATGACATGAATCCTAAGACAGAGGAAACAAGCAAACTTAATAAAAGGCGTTTAAATCCACCATGGCCTGATCAGTCAACTGGAAAATGTGAAGCTTTTATTTTAATAAGCTACTAAGGCAGACCCGATAGCAGACCTTTTAAGACTGCTTTTGAAATCTATGGCTGATGCTTTCATTATCAGTTCCAAACAGACTTTTCCATCAGCAAGGGCTATCATACCCTATAGTTTCAGAATTCAAATGAATACACAAATTTTAGAACAATTCTTAAAAAAAAAACCCTTATGAGCTGAACATGAACGATCCAGCTGGGATTAAGAAGGCAAGAGAAAACTTGAGAGGGGAAAAAAAGGAGAAGAAAATGGAAGAATCATTTCCTTTTCATAGTAGTCCTGAAATCTGAGACCCACCATGCTACAACTATGTAGGTCAGGACAAAAAAAAAAAATATCTAGGAATTTTGGAATCCTCCCCAAAGCTTCTGTTTGCATGTGTGCAGTTCTACCAGAAGCCACACTGAAGTGTATTGTTTCAGCCTCTTCTCCAACTTTTCTCTGGCAGGCGTTTGCATTGTGCAGGGAATACTGCACTCCTTATTTGTTTATGGAGGCCAAATATAAGTACAATTCTTTGTGGCATCATTGTTTAAACATGCCAAAAGTGCTGCTGTTTCTAAGTGTTTGTGTAATTAGTAAGCTTTAGTGTAATCCCAATCTGGAATCTGTCTGCATCTTTGGCAAATTAGGTGGAGTATAAAGTGCGCTGAAAGTCACCTGAGAAACCTTGTAAAGAATTTTAAGTAATCCCGAGGAATAATTCTGGATTGGAAGACTAACATAGAGGAAAACATGGATATATATCTTTCTGGCGCAACTTTTCCTTCCCTTCACCACCCGAGCATATTTATGACAAATTAAGCAAGACAAAAGCCGCCTATGACTTGCCTGCAACAGAAGACAAAGAAAGGATCAGGGCCATGAAAAGATTGTTTAATTCCATGAAAATATTTTGAAGAGCACGACTATTATTTAACAAAGCATTTAAACATTTAAAAAATCAACACGTGCACAAAAGATTAAAAATTACTGAAAAGTTATGACTCAGACAATTAATTCTCAACATTTCAAAATAATTTTAGCCAACTGTGCAAGTACAAAGATTTTTTTCCTCCCCTTTACATTTAACTACCCTCATAAAGGTTGCTTTATACCACAGGAAGAAAAAGATCCTCCTGAGGAAACAAATCCTGCCTTACAAAAACAGTAGCACAAAAGAACTATTAGTCCTTTACTGGAAGTGTTAAAAGCAGCTCAAACTGGCTGTTAAGCTAAATCCATAGGGTTCTTGGCTGGAAGAGTGAGAACCTAATCATTGTCTTTCATCTGGAACTTTAAAATGAAAAGCCAGCATTAAACAAACAACTATTCCATGTAGTTTGGTCAGTAATGGCATACGGTCACATTATTATAAATAACCCTGTTTACAATATCCCAAAACTCTAACCTTTAGTGTTTTATCACCCTCAATGTAAATACACTAAATCATCTGTGTAATAGTGGCACACTTAATAGTCAAAAGGAAGAAATTTCCACACAAGAGTCACACAGATTTAGTTTTACTGATAGTACAACTGCTAGTAACACTGAAAAAACTTCTAAAGGAATCCAGCATTGCCGTGTCCAAATATTGCTTTGATTCCCACCTTTAGAAAAGCAGGATTTTAAATATTACCACAAACAGCAGAAAGCTGGTTTATGAAGCTTAATTTAACTGTTCCTTTGCCCCTCCCATCCCTTCCCATATACTAAGATTATCCTATTTTGCTTAGATTCAATGGTTTCGTTAACATAATTCACAAATGGCAGACAAATAACATGAGCAATGACGGGGTGCTGCAGACAACTATATTTACATGTATAAATGTGTCCAAATCGCAATGTTTACAAATAAAAGTGCACATAGATCATTACAAAGTATCACTCCAATTTTTAACTGGTCCTTACAATAAAGCATACTTGGAAATAAGACGAGCACTGCAGTTCATTTAAAAACTGGTGTCTTCTCCCATCCCCAACTAAAAAAAATAGGCAATTAAAAAAAGGCTCCCATAAAAATCCTATTAAAAACATTCATTGGACGTAAAAAAAAATCGATACATGTACTTTTGTTTTCCAATGTGTCACGTTCACAATGCACCTTGAGTTGTGGAATGGTAGAGATCGAGAAAACATCTACCATTGGCTACCAACAGCTGCAGAACTGTAGAAAGATTGAGGTCATACAGAGCTGAGACCCAATAGCCCTTGGCGGGATACTGAAGTGGTATTGTTGGCAATCAACAGATTTAGGCACTCGAGAGTTTAAGGCAGCATCTGAATGACAAGCACTTGATTTCTGAAAAGAGTTGGTTGTCTTATAGCGGCAAATCTGTGCTCTTTATTATCCTAGGATTTCAGTGCTCATGAGAAAGTATTGAGGTGCTGAGGGTAGGCTGGAATGGCCTAGTGCTGAGATGTATTCCATTCCCAAAGCAGAATGAATGTTACTTTCACAGCCGGTGTAACGTCAAAGAACTGGAATGGTCACAATGAAGAAGATAAAACAAACGAACAAATTACAGTGACATAAACGGGTAGGGAAATAAAAACTTTAGTACTGGAGGTTGCTACAAATGCAGGAGACGAGGAAGAGCTATGGAAGTACAAAACATTAGGCGAACATGCCTGACACGTATCTAGACATGCAGGAAAAGGTTAGGGCGAGCATGGAAGTGGCACAGGCAGAAGACTGTCAATGACAAGATTTCGACTGAACGCCGATTTTGAAAATGGATATGGAAAAGGAAGCAGCTGAAACAGCCAATATAAAATGCAAGTGGTAAACAGTTAGCATTTCAGAACTTCAAACTATGGAGAGGATATGTTTTCAAACTGGGGTGTTTGGTTCTGTTGGGATGGAGCTTTAGAGCTTACCACAATTTTGAACACACAAGAGAAATGCTAACATTGTTAGTGAGAAACATATGCCTACATGCTTTCATGCAACTGGCTTTCTCCCATCTTGCTGGGCCTAACACCCTCCCCCCAAAAAGCAGCTGCATGTAACCTCCTTCAACATGTCGCCCATTTTCTCAGATACCCGCTTCAGGAACCTGCAATCCGAGAGGAAAAGAAGAACAGAACAGGATTACCAGGGGCCATTCAATAAAAGAGAAGCACAGTCATTTTTTTTCCTTTATAAACATCCACCTCAGATTATTACGATTATACTAGATAATGGCTCAGATCCTTTGCAAAAGTTCTGCAAGTCACACTTTCTGGGTAGACATTCACTCAGTAGAAAATTAGTGCAATTTAACTTCCAAATGGTCCCTAGCATCCAAGTGAAAACACGCAAATATAAAAGCCCAAGTAATACAAGTTAGAACACTCCAAGTCTAATCAACTGATACCACAGATAAACATCCTCATAAAATAACCCGTTGCCCGCATGAAAACTTCTCCACATACAAAGACTTTTATCTGTTCATTTCTAACAAAAGGAAGTGATCTGCATTTATTCCTATAGGTACTTTCTATTGGGATGAATGGAACCAAGTTTACTTTTAAGTTTTACTTTTACAAGTCCTGCAGGAAGCAGTTGTAACTATTCTGCGCTTTTTGAACAAAACAATGAACAAGAATCAGAATTAGAAATGTGTCAAGTGTTGGCATGAGAGGCAGGGACTGTTTGGTTGTGTATACAAAAATGTATATACACGTATATATAAAACGTGTATACAAAAATCCAAAATATGAGAAAGAGCAAAAAAGGAGCCAATCAGCAAGCTATGTGGCTTCTATAGCACTTGTATCGTTTTTAAGAATCTTAGATTTGATTTTGAAAGGAAAAGCTGCAAAAGTACTTACAGAATAGGAATGTTTGTAAGCCTACATCGCAACTCCCTAGGTTCCATTACATGCAGGAAATGGCATACAAGTGAAAGTTTTCCTTTGTGGCTGCAAGACCTTACACATTGCATTAGCCTGCAGACTGTTCTTATAAAATGTGTGCAGGGCATCAATGGGCAGAGGGCAATGAAAAGTAGAGTTGCTGTTCAGAAAATAAAAGTTAAAAGCCGGTCTTCATTTTGGAACAAGCTCTGGTTCAAGAAAAATCATCGATTGCCCAGAGATGGTATACTCTCGTGAAACTATTTGTTCTAAAATGACGCTCTTAAAAGGAAGCAATAAGCTTTATAAGAATAATATTAAAAGAATGAAAACCAATAAAATACTGTACTGAAAAAGAAGACGCGCAAGTACATTAAGCAAAGATGGCACTCAGAACGATCTAAATACGCAGACATTTTCCAGTTTCAAAACTGAACTCTTAGTTTGGGCTCCTGTGGTCAATCACATATTGAAAGGATTCATAAACAGTTTTGGACTTTTTCCATCCAATTATGTGCTTCAGTATTCATTAAGCAATGTTCATGGACAAGATGATGGACTGGAGATTAGATATAGGTTACTGCACCTTTACTGTTTTTTTCTAGAGTTACATCTATGTAGGTAGTTGGCACATATCCTTCTTCTCCATTCTGCCTCCGAGCTCTTGTCCATCCATCGCCTTTATCTTCCTCTATAATATACAAAACCTCCCCCTCTTTCATGGCCAGGGTACCTTCATTGTGACCTAGGAGGAAATCAAAACAAAGTGTAGTGTTTAGGGTTTCTTGTTCCTTTGGAGGAGTTAAAGCCGGTCTCTTTCTCAGCCCTCATTTTTCATTCTGGGAAATGGGGATCCTCGGTTCCCTGTAGTGGAACATATGTTTCAAATGTAAGCCAAGAGACAAAAACCTGGTCTCTTGTTGCAAAGTTGAATCCTTGCCAACAGCTGCTTTTCTAATCTAACATATTTATTTTGTTATAATGCAGAAGTACTATTGCCATCAAACAGAAACAAGTTACGGCATGAATTTCCCAGAACTTAAACCAGATGCCATTATAAAAATTTACATACAATTGTATTTAGATATCCGGAGGGGGTGTGTGTGTGTGAGAGACTGCATACAAAGATGCACACACAATGTTGTGTTGGTGTGTGTGTGTGTGTACACACACATATGCATAGAGGAATGTGCACATATACCAAGCTTAAATGCTTTTGCGAGTTCCAATGTCTTGTAACTGGCTGCTGACTAGATCGCTCATTAAGAAAAGATTGCTACCTGTGCGATATGTTTACTGTTGTCTTTTAATAGAGAGAAATTTAAGGTAAACATTACAAATCGTGTTTTGTTGAACAATGAAAACTCCAAACATCCTGGACTGATTCAAGGTCACTCCCATTTATTCTGCATGTAGACTTCAGTGAAATTAATCTTACCATCAAATGGATAGATAGCTTTACAATGTCCTATAGCCGGCAAGGGATCGTCATCTTCAAACTCGTCATCAAATTCATTATGGGGGCCATGCTGCTGAGGTGGGCTTCGAACTTCTTGGTTGGCATCATCTGTGTAGCTCCCCTCCGGACTAGAATGTAATAGATAACAGAAAGCACCTTTGCATTTCTCTAACTAAATTCTCATAGGTTTTTCATCAGTTAAAAAGAATCTCAAAACATGTTCAGATTTTATTGCAAATCATGAACCTTTGTGAAGTAAACGTAAACCCATCCTATATATGGACCTGTATACTGCCCAAAAGAGAAAGAGGGTTGAGAAAATATGTAGAGACCCCTCACATCCTGGACATAATCAATTTCAACTTCTCCCCTCTGGATGCTGCTATAGGGCATTGCGTGCCAAAACTATTAAAGTTTTGCCATCCCTCTGCAGAACACCTAATTCCCACAACACTGTATAATTTCTCATCTTTCCTCTCATCTTTCCTACTGTTTTCTATTAGTTTCTTATGATTTATCAATTGTTTATTATGATCTATGAACTATTACTTGCTGTTCATATGTACGCTGTGAGCTTATACACCCGAAACAAATTCCTTGTGTGTCCAATTGCACTTGGCCTAAATAAAGAATTATATCATTCTATCTATAAAATGTGACTGAAAAATGCAGGCAGAGGACAGAATATACAATGGCTTTTAAAAGCAAAAGCGCTTTGATACCATCTGTCCAGCATATGAAAATACAGAGCAATAATACTGGTGCTTTAAATGCACTCAAGTCTACTGGAATAAAATCCTGTCTCTCCTTACATCTTCAGACTCTCTTCCACCACACATGGTTTTAACAGTAGGGGAAAAACAACAACCATATATACCCTTGTTTAAAATTTCAAAGTGAAACCATCCATCATTTTTAATCCCTGCTTTACTTAAAATAGAAAGTGAAACAAGTTGTTTATCTAAAAAGTTCTTTTTTTAATTTCCACAGACTGCCCAAAAAGAGGAGAATATGTAGGAGTTTTTAAGCCTGCTTTGCCTCTATAAACAACCCTTAACTCACAGTTTCAATTTTGTTACACTTCAACTGCAATGTAATATAATGAAGAGAAGCATATTTATTCCTTAGCAGTAGCCAAGGATATAAAACCGATTGATGAATGCTACAGCTTTTCTATGGGAAAAGGAGAACTATATGAAGTTGGTTAAATCATTTGAAGTATAATGCTGAAGGGCATTTTTGCAGGTGGAACCTTCGCATTCCTCTGGTTTTGTGAACACTTGTTATGAACACACACATACCACTCTTTCTAAATATTATTTTTTGTCTATTCAAATACATGAATGTTTCATTTTAAACAGTTAAAGCAATTTATAATACTGTATATGAAAGAAGTCAATCCACTAAAAATGCAATCACATTATCAAAAAAATTACTGAAGTTTAAAATGTCTAAATATACATACCAGCACATAACAGAAAAGATGTTAAAAGAGAGGGGTGGGGCAGGGGGGAGAAGCTGATAAACATTGGAAGCTGCAGGTATTTCCTTTAACAACCAGAAAGTTCAATAAAACTGGAACGACGTGAATAAAACGTCTTGTAGCATGAAGATTTAATGCAAAGCTTTTTCGAGATGACGACATACAGAAAAATCTTGTGAAAAAAAGTCTGTTTCTTTACAAACACACACACACACACACAGTTTATACATTTTAGTAAAATGTCAGGATTCTCATTCTCCCTTATCAAAGGACTGGATGAGAAGCCAGATCTTCAGGGGAAAGAGCATCTGAATTTGAGGGAGAACCTTATTCTGCTACAGAGAAGGCAGACTTCTTGCACACCTGTGCAAAGAGGTGCTTTGCAATCCAAGGAACATATTTGGCGCACCTCTCCTCCAATAATTAAGTTAGCTGTACTTTCTAAGTATGTCTGGCTTTTCTTGGTTGTTATTCTATGTCAGAAGAGAGGTTGTTTTATATATTGTATGGTTCTTGCTATTGCAAAGTGACACTTTCAGAGGATTTGCTCTGCTCTATATTTTAGGTATATAAATCATAATTACTAGATTTACTTGTTTTAGAAACCTAGCTTTATAATCGACTGGTAGGTTAGGAAAAAAAAATAGAGTGTAATAAAGTGACCTCTCTCTTCCTTGGGTTACGAGATGGTTGATGTCACTGCTGTGCCTTCGGTCTCCTCTTGTTGCTACTTTACCTTCAACTTCAGAAAGCCATGCCTGAAGAGAGAGAGAAACCCGTTACCTGTGCCAGAATGAAATATAAAAATTCTGCTCGGGGGATGCTTCTGGAACCCATAAGCTATATTTCCTGTATGTACGTATGCACTTTTAGATGTTTTAAAGGTGGTTTTTTTTAAAAAAAACAACAACAAGGGACACTGGCCTACTGCAGTCCAAAATGACAGCCTCCAACATAATCTTTATGGTTCCAGTTATCCACTTGGTTCCATTTGGGCGTTAAAGACTTACTCGTAGGCAAGTAATTATTTGGAAATATTTTTTCCTGTCCAGGAGAAAACAGATAAATATAACTAGGGAGTAATAGGGTAAAAAAATGCCAAGGAACATTTAAAAAGCAGTAAAGGGAGATAGAGAATTGAGGAGTGCTTGGCCTGTCTTGTGGATACACAAGCATGTATGTATAGTCAAAAGAAACAAAAACTTGGTCCAAAATCAATTCTATGTTCAGTTGTCCATGAAACCACCACTTACGAACTCTATAAATATCCAGACACAGTTAAATTCATCACCGTTTGAAATGCCATAGCTAGTAAAACTATACTTTGTGACCGTCTTTACCAAACTGTTTACCAAACTTCCAATTTCATTTAAGAATTAAGCTGACCCAATATAAATTCCCTAAAGTGTATTATTTTCAACTGGGGCAGATTTAAATAAATAATATAATTAAACTATATCTACCAAAAAAATTTTTCTAACTGAAGTATTTCCAAATATTCTATTAAGTACAGAAAATTTACAGACTCCTTGATTCAGTATAAAGGTCCCTGCAGATTTTACTCCGCTAGTTGTTGCTGACTACAGGGGGCAGTGCTCATCTGTTTCAAAGCCACTGAGCCAGTACTGTCTGAAGATATTTCTGCAGTCATGTGGCCAGCATGATGTCTCGCAGCACTGTTATCTTCCCACTGAAGTGGCATTTATCTAATTGTATTTTGTATGCTTTCAAACTGCTAGGTTGGCAGGAGCTGGGGCAAGGACAGTTCACCCTGTCTCATGGCAGAAGGGGGGGACTTGATGCCGCTAGCTTGGGGTAGCCAGCAGGGGATGGTCTTCTCACCACCACCAACTCTCCTCTGCCAACTTGGTGCCGCCATTTCTTTGCAGGACATCCCAACACTTGAAAATCCCTGCAGGGATAACTTGCTGTGGGCGCTGGATGGAGAGTTGGACAAGCGAACAGTCTGTCAGAAGATGGCCGTAGGTTGGCTCTGATCTGAACGCCGAACTGCCTGCTTGGCTGCAGCAGGAATGGGGTGGAGAGGCAACGGCAGGCAGGGGTTTCCTATTTTGACACCCCCTGCCATTGCCTCTGAGTCTTGGGCTGCACTGCTCTACAAGGCTCTGCCATTTTTTTCCTTAAGTGCTGCAACTTTAATGAGCTCGAAGTCAGGTCTCGAATCTATCTTGGTTAAGAGACTGAAAATTGTACTAATCCTAGTCTTAAAAACTATCCAGTGAGCAGATTTTTACCTCATTCTTGTGGATTTCCATTCGCAGACGGTCCATGTTGTTCATAGTTTCCATTAATTTTGGCTGAAGACTTCCTGGATCACCCATTTGTGGATTTTTCTCATATACATCTTTCATTTTGATGAGGGCATCTCTATAGAAAAATGCAATTGTCAGGAGTTCATCCAATGATGTTCAACAGCCTACCTCTCATCCCTTTGGGAGGAAGAGAACTGAGTGTATATCAAAGGCAGAGGAACTATGAACTGGCTACCAAGAGCCATGGTGGTGCAGTGGTTAGACGGCTGTACTGCAAGGCTAACTCACTGCTCACTCCAGGAGTTCAATTCTGAGCAGCTCAAGGTTAACGGAGCCTTCCATCCTTCTGAGGTCAGTAAAAAGAGGACCCAGATTGTTGGGGGCAATATGCTGACTTTGTAAGCTGCTTACAGAGGGTTGTAAAGCACTGTAAAGTGATATAAAAGTCTAAGTGCTAGTGCTACTTATCTGTATTTGTGATTCTTCCATTTATTTTAATCTGTGAATTGACAGAAATAGGTTGGGTCTTCCAATGCTTCACAGATTTTGGCGGGAAGCTGTCCCCTTTGTATATCACAACTGCTCTTTTATGTGGTGCATAGCATCTGCTAACTTCTTCAATACTCAGAAACAAAAGTTGCATTCAATCCTAACAGAACCAAACATATATAGACTAAAATATCTGAATTTATAGATAGAAAAACCACAGCTGGCTTCAGTTTTTTTATTTGTACATATGGGTATACCTATGTGGTAAAACCAAGTTTATTTGGTAAGAAGCAAAATCTTGGATTTTTTTTTTCTGAGTTTGCTATGGGTCAAATAATATATTTTAAAATATTTCAGTTATCATCCGAAGATGATAAGCATAGAATTCTTTTATAATAAGATTTTATTTTATATAAAGGTTAGCTCCTCTCTTAACAGTTCTTTCCTGGAACTATAGTAGTGAATGAAATTATATTTTGTCTCATTTACTCAGACAAATGTTGGATTATAAACAATTTAAATTATATCTAACAATAACATTGTATGAACAGATAATAGAGGTCATGAACTGTTCCCTCAGAGCCACACTGACACTTATTACCATTTTCACAAGGATTATTCATACAGTAGTTGTCGATTTATGAGGATTAGGAATTACAATGGCCTCAGAATAGGTATTTTATGGCTTGTAAATCACTTCTGGCCACTGTAAAATGTGCTCCCCTCCCCCATTTACAATCAACTGTGGCATCCTAGTCAATGACCACATTTTGTTTCCAGCAAAAAATACCCATTAGGAAGGGTTTGCTTAATGACTGCACCATTAGCTTAGTGGTGTGTGATTTGCTAAATAACCATTGCAAAAAAAAAAAAAGTCAGGAAAATAAGTCTGGTCACCCAGGTGCCTTGACTTACGACTTCAATAACTTACACTGGATTTCCGGTCCAATTTTGATTGTAAATCAAGGAATACCTGTATTTTTTCTTCTAGATACTAATTATCTCATTTTTCTTTCCCTATGTTTACACCCTATAATTGTCAACTTCCTGTCACTACTATTATCTTCATTCTTGCCATGTTTCTTTAAATATTTAGATGCTGGATATCAATTCATTCCTTCTTTGCATTCTGTTCAAACAATAAACTCCCATTTCATCACAACCAGAGGAAGATAACTGTTCACAAAATGAAAGATGAGAGTTTATTCCTTTTGGGGAATAAAAGTTGAGCTTTAGTGCTACACAATGGTGGACTGATAGCATTCAAAGTCCATAAACGTGAATCACACAGATCGCAACTGAAGAACCAAAATTCCAAATGCTTAGGAGGATTTATGATAAATCAAATCAAAGAGATGTTTGAAGTGAGCGAGTTTCAAATTCCTAGGTACAGCAAAATAAAATCAGCATCAAGAGTCAGAATAACGTAAATACTTTTGATCATTCTCTTTCTGCAATTCTCTGTTAAGCTCATCAATCCTCTGCTGAAGTTTTTTCCGCCTTTGTTCTGGTGGCAAGTGACTGAAATCTTCTTGGGAAGGACCCTAAAACCAAAGAAAATACAACACTTAGAAATGGCAGCTTTCCCACTGATACTTCTGTTGGTAGTAAACCCAATAGTACTTCTTTGCTGAATAATACAGTTGAATGAAAGAGTTTTGTGCCCACTTCAATAATGCTGCAAACTATGGGTCTAGACAATATGTATACCTAATACTGAATTTGGTATCTTAATGATGTACTCTTCTTTACTATTCCAAAGTGACAATCAAACAATCTGCAAATGGATGTAGTGGATTACTGTGTTTTTCCCAATGTGCTTAGAATATAACAATATTCTTCCTTATTATAAACAACAGAACAAAATGAGCTTAAGTTATAGAAAAGGAAATGGAATTAAAATATTAGTAAGAGAATTGGAGTGCATCTTCTTGCAACTTTGGAAATTATTTGAAGGATAAAAAAATCTCCAGAAATGGTATAGATTTATTAAATCTACAGTATTTGCTGTAGCAGCATCCAAAAAGGCTAAGATAGAATACATAAGTTGGTTTTTCTTCAAATCATGTTTTTCCATTTTCTAAAAAGATTTCTCTAAAAAGACATAAACCTCGCACCATTATAATTAGCAACAGTAAACTGGAAGCCAATCTCAGGAATGCATATTCCTCTTCCAAAATGAAGATATATTTCAGCTTTAATTGTGGTTAAGCAGTAAATTTGTGCTAATATCAACATAAGTAGTTGGATATTTTACTCAGATTTCAAATATTAATTTAGCATAGGAATACTTGTATATGTTGGGAGTTTTTTAAACTGTGATTATAGTGTAAGGCATATAGTGTAGTATTATGCCAACAAGGTTTCCCTTTATTATTTTACTATAATCAAACTAATATTTGCAAAGCTGGTCAGCACAAGTGAATGCAGTAGCAGTATACAGTAAGGATGTATCTATTTTGGTTGTTTAACTCTTAGGTCTTCATAAACACATTTACCTGAGATAAAGGTCCTTCTTTAGCCCAAAAGAGATTTCTTATGAAAAAAAAAAGCTATTAATGAGCTTGGAAGTAGCCAACTTCAAATTTCACTGAAACACATTGACATCTTCTCCAACAGGGAAGATCACATGTCAAAGTTTAGATCAAAATTGATCTAGAACAGAAGCACCTCAAATCTGGAAACCAACAACCCCTTCTTTTTAGCCTCTATTTCTTGTTTAGATCATGATAACAAATTTATTTCATAATTCACTCCATTTTCTGGAAAGCTTGATTTGGGAATAGTTACATCATACCCCTAAATCAAATTACCTGGCATGAGTGCAGACTGAATTTAAACAGAAACCTTTTTTCATAACCTACAAAAAGTTCCCTTCCAAATCCTCCTAATATATTGAAGAGAATACAAGCAATTTCTGTCACATTCAACACTGGGAGCATAATTAGCAAATCCCAAGCTATAAACAAGCTGTTACAAAGAAAAGATTCACAAATCCACCTACTTACACATGTGATTAACAATTTAATAAATTAACTATAGTACTCACTGGTTAATTACAAGCCAAAGAGGAACTTACAAGCCTTTATTTTAATGGTTTACCATCTGTTTAGAGAAGCTAAACAAGGCAGCTAAATCCACTTTTCTACATAATTTTCTACTAATTTTTCTAGACCAATAGTTTTACTACAAGTATTTTTCAAGAGAGACTATCTAGTGAAGTTCCTAAATACAATATGGTAAAACATAATGATTTCATATCATCTTACATTCTATTTTTATAATTCAACTGATGTTAGTGGTGTTCTTATGCCACTTAAGAAAAACAGATTTTCTTGGGAACTTTCTACACTTAATTTTTCTATTCTTAGATATGGTATAAAACACAGGAATCACTACCATGCACAAAAAATATCCCATAAGACCTCAAGTAGCCAAGTTCCAAAAAAATTGAATGAGATCAGGGACTGAAAAATCCAGGAATTCTTACAAGAATGTTGCCTTCAAAAACGATTTCAGATAACTGCCTTCAGCATAATAAGCAACATTTATTTCTAGCTTTTTCCACCGTATCTATCACTTCTACTGATTCTGTGTAATTTTCTGTCAAAGAATTAGTATCATTGTCAGAAATATCTGCAGGGATGTGTCCCTACAGCATCGAACTGCGTGCCCTGTCTTTTTTGCGTGTATATTGTGATGTTGCACATATCCAAAAGGGACAGAGCTTGCAGCAAAACATTGGTTTCCTTCTTTTGACAAAAGCAGAAGGAGGCTACAGATTTTTCCTTATTTATGGAAATTAAGTTACATGCTTTATCAATTGGAAAGATAGCCAAAATTATATTTACATCTTCCTTTTTATTCTATTAGTCAATTTTTTTCAGCACTTTTTTATATTCAACAGTAGAAACGTTTCATTTTCCACTACTTCCATAATAGCATTCTACATCAATAGTAGAATTATCTTGATATATTGCAATGTTGTTTTAAATTATTATTATTTAATTCAAATGATATAAGTAGAACATTCACTGAAAATGGGTATTAATATGTTTTTTTTAACCAAACTTGAATACAACATGCCTAGTATATGAAACTGCACTGGAAAATATTGTAAGGAATTTTTTTTCTGATTTAAGTCAATTTTGCAAAAAAATTTTTAACTGTATGTTAATGAAAAGGACAATGGATTATTTTATCACAATGTACCAACTTTACATTACTTCCAAAGAATGGATGAACTACTATGTAATATAAGACCCCTTAGGCAAAGTTAGTTTTTCTCTTTTCTTCCCTAAATGCTCCTGTATTGTTTGTCTATTATCTCCAAAAACTGCAGAGCACCTCTGGAAGATATACAAAGACTCTGTTTATTCTGGAATTGGATGCAGAAATAGGACATCACCCCCAAATAATTGTAAATATTCAGTCATTCAAAGAGAATAATTCTATAACACAAAAGGCCAAATTCATATATAATGTATGTAATTTGTATAACAGAGCTCAAGTAAGCTGTACGTAAAATTATTTTCATTTCATAATGACAATGCATAAACACATCCTACTTTAAGAAGAATTATAGATAAAATTATCCGTATTGGATCTGTAATACAATCTATAAAGTAGCAGGAAATTGTTTACATCAAGTGCAAACGAACTATGAGACAAAATGACAAACAAAAGTATGGACAAATCTGACTAACTGACTCAGAACTATGAAATGGATAGGCTATTGCAAGCTACTGTTACGAATTACAGCAGACAAATTAGCACACACGCCTTACCGTCTTCATCGACCACTGACCAGTTTAGTTGGAAACAAAGAAACAGGAAATTATTTGCATACTTCCAACCAGTGTTTAGGAAGATTTCTGAATGTAAAATACCCATCCAAAACTAGCTAATCTGGCATACATTATTCAGAAGCAACTCCCACTGAGTACACTGGAATTTGCTATCAAATATATGTAGTACTAGATCCTTATTATGAAACATTCTATTTTTAATTATCATCTAAATATCATCTAAAGCAGCCCCCCCCCCCAACCCTTTGGGCACCAGGGACCAGTTTCCGCTGAACGGAATGGGCAAACTGCCTCCATCCCATGGATGAACTTTGCTTGTTTGCATGGCCTGGTTGCTGGTATGCCGCGGACCGGTGCTGATCACATGGACCGGAGGTTGGGGACCCCTGATCTGAAGTACTGCAATAAATATACATGGAGGATGCAGGGAGTCAGGGTTTGAAACAAAAGAAACAGCCCAACAGTTCAGAAGTACACAATAACATTGCTATTTTACTATTTCTACCAAAAAGAGCACATGGGAACGCTATATAATGCAGAAGCATTTGACAATAGCAATGATCTTAAGTTTAGAGTCAAAATCTATAGTATACTCTTATTTAATTTAGAAAAAAATGCCAATATTTAAATAAAGCTCCCAAAATTCGTGTACTTCTCCAGGCTTTTTTAGCTTCATTTATCAACATGGGAAAACAGTGAAAACAAATCATTCAAGTGTTTTCCTCTGTTTGTGATATGTTCAGCTGTCAATAGATGGTTAAAGCTATGTGTAGAACTGCTTAAGTCCATGCCTTTTTACCCAGGAAAAAAAAGACTATTTGAATTATTCTGTTTGTCATAATAGTTATGGGATTTCTTGATTATTTTCAAAGTTTAAAATTATAATCAAAGGGTGATGATATATGAATTGTTGGGTTTTTAAATGTTTAGTTACTTTGTCCAATATAGGAAATGCTATTTCAAGTCAGAATGTTGATTATAAATTAATAATACAGAATTCAGAATAACAGAGTTGGAAGGGGGCTTGAAGGTCTTCTAGTCCAACCGGCTGCTCAAGCAGGAACCTCTATAGTCTATACCAGGGGTGACAACACAAGGCCCACAGGCCGGATGCAGCCCACAATGTGGTTAGATCCGGCCCATGGGGCTGTACTGGAAAATGTAAGGGGCCAGCCTGCATGGCTTCGGCCCAGTCTACCCAATGTGAAGAGGAAACATCGGGCCAGCATGGCTTCGGCCCTGCCTATCCAATGCAAAGAGGAAATATGCCAGCAGTCTGAGGAGTGCCGTCAAGCTGGCTGTGCCCACCCAGTTGGCTATGCCCCCCCCTCTCCCAAGGTCAGCCACTGCCCTGATGCATCCCTCAATGAAATTGAGTTTGACACCCCTGGTCTAAATGATTTCAGAAAAATGGCTGTCTGATCTGTTCTTTAAAACTTCCACTGTTGGAGGATTCACAACTTTTGGAGGCAAGTTGTTCCACTGATTAATTGTTCTAACTGTCCGGAAATTTCTCTTTAGTTCTAAGTTGTTTTTCTCCTTGATGAGTTTTCACCCATTTCTTTTTGTCTTGCCTTCAGATGCTTTGGAGAATAGGTTGACTCTCCTCTTCTTTAGATATTAGATATTGCTTATTTGTGCCTATTTGGCATGAACTAACCTCTCCTCAGCTATGATATGAAACTGTATATATTTCCTTTTTTTATAAAACACAAAATCATTACCATTTCCCAATCAGTACAGGAGATTAGATGTTAGATTCTGCCCCCATAGTGAAAGCCAATAAAGAGATTGTCCCTTTTACTTTCAATAGTGAAACAGGCAGCATATGAAATTAATAAATAAATATAAATACTCAAGATTAATGTTGCATCTGGAGAACTCTGATACTATTTAATTCAATTTTATTAAATTTGGCATCTATCATTTTTTCAAATAGGAGTTAAATTCATAAATCTTCTCAACAGAGCCACCATGATTAATAGTTAAGAGAAAGGAGAGAATGTAGACTGTGATTTTTAATGATTTACAAACTTATTAAAGATATGTTTCTCTTACTGGAATAATTATTATGCTAAGAGCATTTTTTCTCAGAATGCTGGATACAGCTGTGATTACAAAGATGCTATATAAGAAGCAGATGTAATGTGAGTGCAGAATCTAGCTAAGTTTCAGAGATATTAAGGAAGCCTAAGAAATTTTTTATCATCTCTAACTTCCTTAATTCCAACTCTTGCCAAATTTGCTTTTTCTGTCCTTATAAAATCTAAGTTACCTTAAAAACTTAAGTGTGCAAGAATAACAAAATTATAATACAAAGATATGTTTTTAACGAAGTTAATCTATATAATTTGTTCTAAATGAATGATCAAGCTTTTTTTTGTTCAAAATTTGCATTTTTTTAGGATAAAGAGCAAGAATTATAGATTAAAACCAGATGCTGAATGGAAAAATGACTACATCATTGTGTTCTAATTTAAGACAAGCAAATTATAAGAAACCCATAGCCAAAAGAGAAAAAAAGACCAAACCGACTCACTACAATGGAGAAACTATCTAATAATTAACTAGAACTATGATATCTTTGGACTCTGAACTGCTTCTCTCAAGACCAACATGCCCAACTATAATAAGTATATAGTGTTACAATCAATTGTGATTCCTCTGTACATGTGTATGTATGGGTGGGGTGGGGGTGGGGGATTCACTAAATTTCTGGTTATCCAGACTCAGTATTAGACTCCTACATATAGGAAAGAATGTTTTTCAGAGTAAATTATCTAATGCTAGTTCATTTGTCATGGAAAAATAAATGTCGGTTGGAGATTACTTCTTCCTTAGAACAAACTCCATTTGCAGAATCTGTCAGTATAAATTAGTAAGAGCGCTTCCTGAACTGCACTCTTAATAGTAATCCATAAAATGACTGAACAAACATGTCCAAAAAATAACAGTAAATTAGCCACTAGAGTGAAGAACACTGCATTTAAATATTACTTAAATATGTATTATACACTAAAATGAAGAGTTGTGTGTTTTGTGTGTGTGTGTGTCTGTATGTGTACAATTAAAGTGCAGACAGATTTTTTTTTAAAAAAAAAATGAAAATGTTTCCCGGAAGCTAACATTTTAAGATATCCCATTACAATCAATAATCTGAAAAATTAAAAAGCATGCTAATACCCAAGGTGGCATAAAATGGGTTCATTATACAAGATCCATAGCATACTTGGAAATATATACACTGATCATGAACCAGAGTCAGTTCGTGAGTTGTCAAGGCTAAATTCAAAATAACCCTAGAGTGCAATAACAAGGAGGCCAATATACACGTAGTCCTCCGCTACAAATGAGCCCAAAATTTATGTTGCTAAGTGAGACAATTGTTAAGTGAGTTTTGCCCATTTTACAATCTTTGTTGCCACAGTTGTTAAGTGAATCACTGCAGTTGTTAAGTTAGTACAGTTATTAAGTGAACCTGGCTTCCCCATTGACTTTGCTTGTCAGAAGATTGCAAAGGATGTTCACGTAATCCCCAGGACACAGCCAGCAACTGTCACAAATATGAACCAGTTGTCAAGCATCCCAACTGTGATCATGTGACCATGGGAACACTGCAAGAGTTGTAAGTGTGAAAAACAGTCATGTCACTTTTTTCAGTGATGTAACTCCAAGCAGTCACTAAATGAACTGTTAAGTCGAGGATTACCCGTAATTCTGAATTTCTGTCTGATCATTTTATAATAACAAGTATTGGAGGAGAGACACCTGATAGAAACAAATCTTTCTGACTAGACCACGTCTTGGGAAGCTCATAGTGAAATATTGGATTGACTGTTCATGTATGGAAAAAGTCAGCGGTGCAAAGCAAAAAATATTGGAGTTCAATCATAAAGGACTGGTCTCTACTAAAATGCAAAATTAGCCTGTACAGAAAAACTATATTTGGATGACATTTTTCTTAGTAGCAATTAAGAAAGCAAAGATCTTGGAACAGATACAATAGCCTTGCCTAAACTTCCTAGAGCTGTGGTGGCAAACCTATGGCACTCATGCCGGAAGTGGCACACAGAGCCATCTCTGCCGGCACACAATCCGTCGCCCCAGATCAGGTCCACTGCGTATGTGCGTTCGCCTCCCACCAGGCAGCTGATTGTCGGGTATCTGACGCGCATACACAGAGGCGCAGATCGCGCGCGGGGGTGTGGTGTGTCGTGCACGCATTGCATTATTGGCACATGACAACTCAGAGATTAGCCATCACTGTCCTAGAGAATGGTCCAAGGGGAAATATGTCATCAGATATGCCATGCAGAGCTTCTTGGAAGAAGGTTGGAATAAAAGAATTATAAAATAAATACCTGTCTTTCCTCATAATTATTTATTATAAACATCTGCATTAAGTATGGGTAGCTGTCAGAATGACTTTTTAAAATCCTTCAGAAACACTAGGCCTCCTTTGTCAGAAAAGTCAGCAAACAAGATAGAAATCGGCCTTTCTTTTCTTTTCTTTTTACAATTATCTCACTTCTCTTTCCTTACCAACACTTTCTAGTTCCCAATGCTATATTAATATTAATGCCTATATTAAGTACACGCAGGAAACAATGAGAACATGCACTCAGCATCTTCTTTGTAATAATACCACCAGAGTCAGCTATTTCTAATGTTAACATTCATTGTGGAGCTAAGCAAAGCTATTTCACAACATGGAATTAAGCAACATGGTTGTTGATTGCACCACTGCCGGTAGAAAACTTATGATGGTGGAAGGTACTACAAAAGCCACATAGAAGCACACCATAGCGCCATCATGCACCTAACAGAACTCATAGAACTTACCCCTCTTTTGAGGCTTTTGAAAGAAGGCATTCTGGGCTTCCCTGTCTTTATTTCATTCATGCAATAATGGATTTGTTCAATGGAGAATATGGGATACTGGGAACCATTAGAAGTACTGGATGTGTATAAACTAGTAGGGGTAAGGGGTGGGGACTGTGGCTGATATAGAAAGAAAGGAAGAGATAAGGCAAACATTCAAAGTGGTGAAACTTCTGTCTTCTCCTTTCAATACAGAAACAAATGATGGGTTGGATCCAGAGTAACAAAGGAACAGAATTCTGCAAACCGAATGCTCCCACAACTGGATAGAAGGGGAGATTTTAACCAAATACTTCTGAAACCCATAGTAACTATTCTTTCATAAATAAAGATTGATGGGCTTTAAAAATAATATGAAAGGTGGAACTGGAGGTGGACAGAGGGAACAGGTGAAAACAATCTTCTTTCACATTACATAGCCTCCATTGCACAATTCATTCACTTTAGAGAATGGGAAAAAAAATTCTTCCATTTCAGTACACTGAATCTGGATCCAAGCCCATAATGTTTTATATTTTCATCATTATAATTAGTAGCATCAGAATGTAACATCATAACACTTATATCACAATAAAAATAACGGATAGTTTTCAGGCATCACAAAGCTCTTGCTTTAAACTACTAAAATAATAAATGCACCAAGTTGAGGTTACAAGAATTTCAAAATCACAGTGAAAGTTACCCTTTTGGACTAACTCAAAAATACATCAATAAACTTCAGTCACAAAAGGAAATACATATGATAGACACTCACATTTTATTTATATAGGTGGTATATTACATTTGCTTCTTGCTATGAAACAATGAAATTAAAACCTTATTTTATCCCAAATTTGGATAGCCATTTTAATGATACATGAAACCAGTGGCTTCAAATATTAAGAGCTACACCATGTAGTTAGAAATTACAATTGCATTCGTTCAACTAAAGCAGGTGTGTCCAACCTTTTAGCTTGCCTCGACTGCAATGAGTGAAGAGGAATTGTCTTGGGCGCCATATAAATACATAACATGGTTAATGTATATAAATGCACATAATAATGATAAAATTATACAATATTGTAGGCTGCATTACTAGCTGCCCAGGACCAAAAGCAGCTCACAGCTTGGACACAGCTGATCTAAAAGTATTAAAATTTTCTGCACAAATTTCCCATACAATCCACCACAATTCAATGAAAAAAATAAAACATGTTTACGTTCATTGCTTGTCCCAATGCCAACAATATCTACAATTATAGGCTCAACTTAATTAGACTTAATTAAAACTTAATTAGACTTAATATTGCTAGTTTTTCATACTTCAAAAGGAATTAATTTCCATTTGAACCTTCAGGTCACCTGCTTCTCAACAGTATTCACTTTTGCCCAAGTTTTAGCTTATAAACATGAAGCCATCCTCAACAAAGCTTCACCAGGATGAACAAAGCTTAAATAAACTATTCTCCCAATTGTACTAAATTTATCATGTAAGTTAAAAATCTTAAACTGATTGTGCTTATTAATCTCTCTCCAGTCCACCAGAGCACTTCGATTTCAACAAGTACATGGATAGCAAAATATTGCATGCTGTAACAGTTTGGCCAAGCCACTGTCTGGTATACACAATAATTTGGGACTCAGCTGCTGGAATTCCATAGTTGAATTATGTAGGGATGAGAGATCATAATAGTAGTTATCCTCTGGAACATACTAGAACCCAGTTTCTAAAATGAACAGTTTTGCCCCTACAATCAGTCAATAAGAATCAATCTGATTATTCTGTTGAAAAAGGCAACATTTAATCACTGAATTACAATCTTGAATGTGCAATCGTGGGACACATTTTTTATTTTATTTTTACCTTTGGTTTCTTTCCAAAGAGCCAGAGTTTTCCTTTAGCCTTGCCCACAGTGGTTTTTGCATCGATTTTCATTCCTTCCTGTTTTGGGGTACTGATCGTTCCATCAGAAACAGTCCTATAAATGTGTTGACTGTAATCTTCAAATGGAAAATCTCCAGGAGGTTCAAAGCCAGACTTAAAGGAGTCTATTACAATTTGAGAATCCTTTGTGAGAGAAATATACACAGTTAATTGGCTTAAATATTGCATTTAACTAATATTACACTTAAAGACTACCAATCAGCCCTTCAAGGTACTCGAGATCAGGAAACCAAAATCACGAATACTTTTATTGCTCAGGTTACAGCAACAGAAACTTGCAAGTCTGAAAGTGCCCCACACCCCCAAAAAACTTTATGTTCTGGAGAACTAGGAAGGAACAATTCTGAGATGATTCCTCAAAACACATTTCTGGTTTGGATTCAGATTTTGTTTAACTGACCACTGTCTAAGTTGCAGCTCTTCCTCCTGTCTCTTCTGCCCATTTTATACTACCAAAACTTAATGTAAATTAGTTTATAATGTTATTTTTCAGGGTCTCTGTTTTGAATGGTAAGCATTTATTGTAGAGAAAACAAAAGCTGCAGGTATCCTGTATTTCCTTTTCTTTTATCATTACATCAAAATTGGAACTGTTACATAGAATCTATCCAAGAAATAAATTGATTCCCAAGATACAGACAGTTTCATTTTCATCAAGTACTGAACACAAGAAATTCCATTTGGAATAAAATGGGCTTTAAGAACAGGCAGGAAGCAGTTTCTTAGCATCTTATCACATTCAAAGCCATTCGAAGAACAAACACAGAATACCGAATCAGGGATGCCAAATATTGCAGCTCCAGTCTTAACAGGTTTGTTGTAATATGTGTTTGCATCTCTTGAACATCAATCTATTGTAATTTTGACATAGGGTAATATACACATTAATCATAAGGCTAAGCTATTGCTTGTAATGTACATTTATATACACAAATGTAAAAAAAAAACCTGAATGAACATAAAATCTTGCACTGGTTGAGAGGCATTGGTTATCAGGCCCAATTGCTAACAACATTCTTAAGGAAATTATAAGCGTACACTTAAAATCAAGTTCTACAAAATTAAAAATTATGCATTGGTAGGCACCTAGTTTTAATATTCTCCTTTTGGGATATGTAAAACTATTAGACTGGAGTTCTTTTCAAACAGGCAATATTAAATAGCCAAGATCTAAGAGACATAACAATGAAACATGCTATATTTCTATAATGATCTATATCAGATGTGCAAATCTAAAACCATACCAGTAAGACTGGCTGCCCTCTCTCCCCCCCCACCCTCTTAGGGAGGGAGAAAGATATTGTTGCTGCCTGTCATTTTATTTAGACAAAGTTATCTCATGCAATTTTAATTCTCTGGCATACATTATTGTCCAATGCAATTTAGGTGTTAACTGTGGAAAATTATTTTTCCTACTGTTTACTATCATCATATTTGTGAATTGTCACTAACTAAGGTAGTCACTAACTGAGGACTGGCTGCAATATGATGAGTTCCACTTTCTGCTGCTTCTTAGATCAACAAAAATGTTAGGAAAAGAGAGAGGAAAGCTATTAATTTCATGGGAAAAAACATATGGAATTGCCTGTATTTTGCTTTATGGGACCTAAAATGCGTAAACTTGACCAGAGTAGGCTACAATCTATAAGATTAGATTTACTTCCATAGCAATGTGCTTAATACTAGCACTGAATTATGCAGAACAAATTAAACTTACCCTGCGGTCATCAACTGATTTGGCTGCAGCAATCATCCCTTCTAAACATTTTGAAACTATTGGAATAACTTTCCTCTCAGAATCTGCAAATCCTTTATAACATTCACTAAGTTTGATGGTTCGTCGTTCATCCATTTCTTGAAGGTGCTAAGTAATAAAGAAGAGACTGAACATCTTTATAGTAACATTCCAAATAGAATGGAACATTGTCCTCACTGTAATTATCATATGTACAATTTGTGGTGTTTTAACTAAGCTTTAGGGAACTAGATATATTAAATAATACCAAATGTGTTATTAGTGGATCAGTAGTTCACTAAACTTTGCTCATTTCTACAAATGGTATTCACATTTCTAAAATGAACACAAGTACTCAGCTAACGCCTTCTAAAATCAATCAGAATTGGCAAGTATTAACCACAGTTTATCAATAAAACTCATGATTTGTATTCCACATGCAACCTAAGACTGTGATAATAAAAGTAAGAAAGAATAACTTAAAGACTAAGACTTTTATTATACAATAAACTCCAATACCATAAAACTGCATGCCATTATTAAGTAGTTAAGTCTTTTGCCGGTTTCTAAAACATTTTCAAATCTTACAAATAACACAAAGGTGGATGGGCATTCTTCACTTTTAGAATTATACCCTATATTTAAAACTACATAGTAATTTTATAATTTATAAAATAAATTATATAGACTTAAATGAACAGAATCTAGAAGAATAAATGGTAAATTGTAGAAATGTACCTTCTCTCTCTTCAATGACCAAATTCAATTCATCAACTTACCTTGTATATTTGAGGAATGACAATATAGAAATGCTTGTGCTGTTCACCATTAAAATTTTGGAGCTGTGCAGCATATTCATTTTTATTTTCATCAGCCATATGTGTACGTAGGTTTAGTTGCTGCTTTGCCTAAAAATGGGGACAGATCAATAACAGTTTAAAATTATTTTTAAAAGAAATTATTACTTAGCAGCATGCTCATTATTTTTCCCAGTGACATCTTAATGTCCAATATATCCTCTCATTAACACTTGTAAGTTATGAATAGAAATTGTTTTTCAACTATAAAGTCAATCCCTATTAAAAAAAAAAGCTTTTGATTTTAACTGATAAGTCAGTTGCTTCAAATTATTCCACTGTTTTGGTGCTATATACTTTCAACAAATGCATTTACAAAGGAAACTAAACAGGAAAGGCTACCTTACAAGAGCATTTGCAGCCAAGCCAAAATGTCACTAAAATCTCCCAATCTCTCCATCTCTCCCCTTCTCCGCCTCCCTCCCTCCCTCTCTCTCTCTCTCTCTCTCCCTCTCACACACACACACACATACACACACACACACACACACACGACAAAGACAAATCTTGCTCCCATTGCAATGCAAGTACGAAAAGAGCATTATTGATGAATAATTTATTAAGTGGTCAGCCCTATCCGTCTGCAGGAGCTTATGCTGACTTACCAAGGAAACATCCTTGCACAAATCTACAACTTTTAAGAGAAAATAGTCACAAAAATATTAATTTTGTGTCTGTCTGTGAATAAATACAAAAAAGGGAGAAATCCCACCAATGTACGTATATTCCTACAACAGAAGCTGACTCCTGTTGTAATGAGTTTAGTTTTCTTTGAGAATAAAGAATTAATAAATTATGGTATTAAAATCACTAACTGTAAATCTAATGAGAAACACAGTTCATCAATGTATAAAAACAAACATTACAGATATATCACAAGAGGCAAAAAACTTAGATAAAAATAGCAAATGCTTAAGACCTTTTATTTAAAATACTGTTCTTAAAAACGCTGCACTCTTACTTATGGCTTTTATTCAAATACAATAAAATATTATATACAAGACTATATGAGTAAATAAGATACTACATATAGTTTCTTAACATTATTCATCAATTAATATTTTAAAATGTTTATATAGAATGTTACCCATAGTGTTTTTTTATTTAAAATAAAATTAAAGATTAAAAAAATAGTTAAGTAAGGAAGTTTCAGGGACATGATTAAGCAATGGTCTGCTGTGAAATTGTGAAACAGCAAACTGATTTAAATAAATATTCAAAAGACTAATTGTGACTTTCAGTCTTCATTTGGAATATTTGCCCAAGTCACATTTTATTGCTTTGGATTTATAAGCACAATCTACAGCTCAATCCATGAGAAAACAAGAAAGCTCAAGATTGGCTCGAGCATAGGACTATAAAAGTTGCATTTTAAAATGTGTTGCGCGTGACATTTCACAGAAGGTCCAGTCATGTGTGTGGAAACTTCTCTTTCAAATGTGAAACAGGCTGTTTTAAGCATTCACAGCAGTTTTACCAACAAAATGGGACATTTCATGAAATTTTGCAATCAGAACATTTCAGAACCATAATTTTCAAACCATATTTGAAAAATAAAAATCAAAATATATGATGGCTGAAACTTTGCTAATTCAACACACTTTGATATCCACATTAGATGGCCCAAATAGTTCATTATTTCAATAAATACCAGCAACATTACAAATATAGCCATGTGAACTATTATTTTCCAATAAAAATATCTTACTTTTTCAACATCTGCTTTAGTGGCATTGGTATCATTGTCCAGTCTCTCATAACATTGCTGTGCCTTTTCTGCTTCTTTGCACTCTCTTTCGAATTTCTTTTTGCTCTACAATGCAATGACATAGTTACAAATCAATACAACCAATCACCATGCTGCACTACTCCCAGAATTATAATTCACATCCATGCGCTTTTGATGAAAATGGAACATATTCTGCACACATTTTCTTTTAACCTTTTGCCATTTCATTTTGTAATTGTTTAATTCTTTGATTTTAAAACTTCCCACATCCTCTATCCTCTCTATCATGCATTTGTCCAATGCTAGAAATAAAATAACTTTAAGATTAGCAACTATTTAAAATTGCATGTCCACATTATTTTAGGAAGCTCTTATTCAGTTGCTACTTATTGATTCCCCTAAGATGCAAATATAGGTTAAGAACAATAATTTAACCCTGAATAATCTGCCTCTTATGCGTGAACAGCATTGTAGCTGGTTCCATATATAAAAGTATTTGCTTTTTCCATGTCTGAAAAAACATCCTCAATACATCACAGAAATTACATCATTACAAGGACTTATAACATGAGGTTAACAAGAGTAATACACACACGCACACACACACACTAATTAAGAATATATGAACTAGATTGAACAGTTTAGTAGTATTTTCATTCTTGAAAACTCATATATAGCATAGAAATGTCATGCATCTTAAATAGACTATATCATTAGTGATAGAGATTATTAACAGAATTTTTATGGAGTAGTTTGATTAGTAGAGAACAGCTCTGTATAAATATTAGGCTCACCATTATCATTACTTGCCTCTTTCACAACACATTCTTTTAGAAAGACGTGGGACAAGAATAGTGAAAATGATTTGATAGAATGGAATGAAAATTGGACCATATAACTTGGGAATATGAAGATACAGGCCACAGAAATTGACAATTTATATATTGACTTTTAAAGACTTAAATAATAATAAGAAATTTTGCATTTCTTGCAACCCAATGCATACCACTCTGAAACTATCCCACTAAATTCAATTACTCTTATTTAGGGAAGTGAACATACAGGACTGCAGCCTTTGTTACACTTAAGCTAGTATATTTTTTTTGTCCGAAATAGTTCTTTATTTAACATTATTTAACTCCATCAACTCCCCTTTAATTTTACTACTTAAAATTAAGCTTAAGGTAACTCTCTGAAGAGTATCAATTAACAGAGGAAGATATGATTCCCAAGACTTAAATAAAAGTAAACCTCTAGTCTATCAAAAAAACTCTGCTTAAGTACCCCAAGGTTAGGCAGTATTTCAGTATATTTTAAGAAGCTGAAATATAGTCTGTAAATCTATCAAAGTCATATTCCTGCAGATATTAGTGACTGAGGAATTAGCAGTGTAATGATCTAACAAACATAATAATCCATTTTGGCTATTGAACAATGAAAGCACTGTGATGGCTCAGTGATAACTAAGTTCATTCATTATGTCTTCAGTCTGGTATTAGTCATCCATAAAACTATGCAACCTTAAGGAAACCAGAAAAGGAATAAAAGAAAACTCACATTATCCATTTGTTTCCAACACATGTCAAGATACTGTTGTGCTTTTCGACCCTCTTGAAGGTGCTGGAACATAATAAACAAGATGTTTTCTAAACCCCATGTTACTTTTAAAACTGTTCAGCTTAATCTCACATAATGATATATATCAATCAAAAGGCAAAACAGAATGCTAAACAAGAATGTAAATCACAACAGAAGCACCATCATTTTAACATTACTAATATGCATTCATCCACTGTTTTCTTTCTTTCAAAAATGTAAAAATGCTATCTAGCATTTAAGTTAGCATTTTTACATTTTTAACTTAAATTATCTTCAATAATTCAAGAGATGCAATGGAAGGAACTACAATTCGTGTAATTATGTGGATTATATAGCTGCATGGATTCCTTGAGCACTGATATCAGGTTTTACTGCTACATTCTCTATAGCTAGAAAAAAAAACTTCTCTTAGGTCTATTAACAGCATCTTTGTATTTCCAAAAATGTAATATTTCTAACAGTCATCAAATAAAAAACTAGCTGAGGACTTAGAAAACAATTAAGGCTATGACCAGAAGCTTGTTTTACAGATCAGCTCCACTGAGGGAAACTGAGGGTGAGAGGTGGGGACGGAGGGAGGGAGAGACAGAGAGATAATACAGATATTTTAATAAAATACAAATCAGAAAACAAAAAACATTTAAATGGACTATACTTTGGAATCTTATAGAAAGTATATTTCTGCTGCATTCCTGCAACAGAATAATGCAGGACTACATGAAGATCTATATACAAGCTGGCCAAGCAGAAGAGATATCTAATTTTTGTTGCTGTTTTTGGATAAAATAAATAATTAAATTGTCCTGACATTCACAGATAATTCGGCAAAACAGTAACTTGGATCTCCCCCCACCCCATTCTTTACCAGTTTCCTTTCTGTTTTGAGTTCGTGGGAATATCTCATCAGTTCTCCATATACTCTATGTCCCAATTCTTCTGCTACTACTTCACGCTGTCCTGCGTAGTCATTTAATTCATTAAGAATATTATAAAAGGCTATACATGAGGTAAACCTGGCAGAATACAGGAAATAAACAAAAAAGATACTCCATTATTAATGAGGGTGTATAACTGCTTTTCTTTAACAAAACAAAAAGTAAACGAATGTTATCAGTATCTAGCATGGTGTGAAGACCTTAAAAAAATGAACCTCAAAGAAAAAGGCAAAAGAGAAAAGCCAAAGCCACTTCTCCTTAAGAGAAACTTGTAAGATCAGCAGGATCTTACAGGGAGGGAGAAAATAAAGAATATCATCCAAAAGCCCCGCAAAACAGAAGCATTTACTAAGGTGTGAAATGAATAACTGGTTTTAGGAATAAATTTAAAATTATGAGGAAAAACTAGACTAGATGCAGAAATGAGTTGCTTCATCTGGAAAATGGGACATATCATTCATATGTATCCTGTGAATGAAAGCATTTGCTACATTGTGAAGTGTTGGATATTTGGATTAGGTCAAATATGCTATTCTGACATTAATGTTGGGAGGTTTAGAACTGAACAGAAAAGAATGGAGAAAAATGTATGGAAGGGAAGAACAAAGACATCACTTCTTAAAAACAGACCTCATAAACTTATGCTTTTTTCAAGTCATCACATCTTGAATGTACCAGAATTTAGAAGTCACATTAATCCAGATATCTTTACTTTATTATAAAATAATATTTATTTTATATAATTACCACCTATGAAAAATGTACTTGGCTTAAACATTTAAATCCCAACCACCCTGACAATCGGATTAGACCAAGATCCATATGTATTTCATATTCGTATTACCTGGGCTCTTCGTCTTTGGATGAACGTTTAGGACAGTATTTCTTCACCAGATTTCTGTGAAGAGTGAGAAAGAGACAGATGGGCTTTAAAAAAAGAGCAAGGTGAGTTTAATAATCCACCCCAGTCAGAAAAATAAGACAACTAGTTGCCAGCATTAGTTATCTATATTTGCATACATTGTTTACATTATGTAAACTACATTGTTTAAAATAAATTATATAAAAAAATAAAAATTATTCCACTGTTGAGTAATTACAGATAGTCCTCATTTGTTCAATGACAGTTCAAAGGTACAAAGTTATGGCCATCGCACCTCTCCAAGATCACATAAATACGGTTTGGGCACTTGGCAAATGGCTCACAATTACAAAAGTACACAATTGCAGCGTCCCAGTCACATGAATGCCATTTGCAACCATGCATTGGCCCAGGACATAGTTTCAGTGGCCTAAGCAAACAATTCTGGATTCTCGTCTCTTCCCATGTTGTAATCACATGATGTCCTCACTTAATGACCCACGTGGTCTTTGTTTAATTTACAGCAACAAGGTCTGCTACTGTTAGGCAATGTGGTCAAATATCACATCATGTTTTACAAACACTCTGCTTAGCAAGGACTACCTATATTAGATCAAAACCAATCTGTCATATTTTCTTTCCGTGTAAGGGTCACAATGCTAAAATGAAGCCAAAAGAAAAAGTAGAATTTTCTATGCACAGACTGACAAATTAGTTTATAATTACAAATTCGGCAGCATTTTTACCATATTTTCCCAGACATGCATGGTAAATACATGGCTTTTTTTCCCAGCCAAAACAAGCCATTTTCCAGAAGATGGTGAAGAATAGCAAGAGCAAAAGACTGACACTAAAAAAATACAGCAGAAATTCCAAAGATTCCAGTGGCCTCAAGTAACCAAACTGCTCATAAATATCCCCACAAAGGAATAATGGTATATATTTCACATTTCACAGCAGGAAATCTATTTCATTTCCTCAAGTGATATACTAAGAACATAAAATAAATCATTCTTCCTTGGACTAAATTCAAATTTAACCCTGCTCTAGTTTTTAGATATAAGAAAATTACTTGGCACTTAAATACTACAATATTCACACATCATCAGTAAAGCAAAAGAAAGTGGGAAAGTTAGCAGAGGGGGTTTAATGAATTATTCAAAATTAAGAAACACTGATGACAATAAGAAACTTTTCTCACAAAGGGCAACCATGGAAGGATGCCTGATATAAATGGTTAACAGATGTTGAACACATTCTACATACTGTAAAAGGCCATGGGAAAATGTTGATGAACATTTTCCATCTATGCCTTTAAGACATATATGGGTGAACACAACTTTGCTATATATTGACTTTGTTAATGCCTGGGAGAGTCTTGTATAATATTAAACACATGTCAAAAAATTCTTAGATCAATGTGGAATTCATGGACTTCTTTCACAGGAGCTTTTAATGGAGAACTGCCTCAGATAACTCACCCATATTTTATAGAATACTTTTAAGATATCATTCATTTCTCATAATCTTTTCCATACTGTTGCTTTTGGCACCACTGTTTTGAGGATAGTAGAACAATATAACTCAGGATTTCCCAGACTGTGACCTATACTTCCCTTGGAGAGGTGCAGACAGTCCAGTGGTAGTGTGAAGAATCTTTTAGCTTTATTGTTAAAATAAATTCACCTTTCCCAAAGTTTATTTATTTTGTTTTCATTGAGAATAGAATAGAATAGAATAGAATAGAATAGAATAGAATAGAATGTGTGGCATCGTGTGGCATGCCATAGAATAGAATAGAATAGAATAGAATAGAATAGAATAGAACCGAACCGTGATGGCAAACCTACGGCATGCATGCCACAGGTGGCAAGCAGAGCCATTTCTGCAGGCATGCGAGCCCCAGGCAAACTCACCTCACTGCGCATGCCTCCCAGCTGATTTTCAGGCCTTTTTCGGCCTCCTGGAAATACCGGAAGTGATGAAACGGGCCCATTTTTCGGCCTCCAAAAGCTGCAGAGCCTTCCCTTGAGCCTCTGGGGGGCCAAAAAAGGCCCAAAAATCAGCTGGAAGGCGCACGCATGCAAAGTGCAGGTAAGGGAGCAGGGAGGGAGGATCACGCACGCATGCACAGGGGGCATGGGGGGCCATGCACATTGCCTTCTGGGTGCTTGCACGAGGGCATGCACACGTGAGCATGTGCACAATTTTCGGCACAGGAGCCCCAAAAGGTTAGCCACCACTGGAATAGAATATAGAACAGAACAGGAGAATAGAGTGGCGGGAAGGGGAGCAGAGAGGTATGGCATAGAACAGAGCAGAGCAGAGCAAAGTACGATTTAGAATTATTATAGCTCCTGACCAGAACAGAAATACATTAAAAAAACATTGTTCATTTGTGTCCATTTTGGTAGCTGGATTCTTAGGCAAGGTGTGTATATTAAAGAGAGATGTGGTGGCAAAAGATTAAGGCTGTAACTTTTGCAAATGCAGATTACTTATGCTGGTCTTCTATTTCAACACACTTTTATTATTATATTACATTTAAATCAATTTCCACAGGTAAGTAAAATATTAGTTCATAAGTAGATAGAAGAGATATGCAAAACGTATCATTTTAAGCCATTTTGAGTATGAAACTTTGCAAAGCAAGTTAGTTTTAAGCATTTGGGAAATGGTTTTGCACTCATAACAATTTTGTTTCCAACTCAAAACATTTCTGAACATGTTTTAAATGGGTTTAAACCGATTTGCATTCAAAATGGTTTTATTTAAATATTTTACACATCTTAGTGGTACATAGTAACCACACACAGAATACCATTTTTAAAAGTTTTTCTCTGGAGTATTTAGAGAAAAGCACTTAGTATTATTGCTGACAATTTGTACTTTTATGGAAAAATTTTATTCTGGGAGCAATTAACTATGGAACGATAGGTTTTTCAGCATGAATCTCTTTAGAATATGAATTCATCTGTACAACTGTTGAATGAAAGTTTGCCACATCTACATTTGGATCACAATCAACCTCTTATGTTTTCAGTTTCAATTAAAAAAAAAACATACTTGAGAATCAAGAAGCCACATTTGCTTTCAATTTAGAATTCATGCTAGTAAAAGTATCTAGATATCTTGCCAAACTTTCTAAATATAATAATTTAGGTAACTAAAACTTCATTTGGTTATGGACAAATTATAGTTTTCAACTCAACAGGGTTATTTAAATAACTTTCTTCATCTTCAAAATCAAGTACAATATTCCAATTGAGATCAGAACTTCCAAGGCTAAGCAAGGCGGCTGAATGAGTGGTGCAAGCTTTTTTGCCTGATTTCACAACCGTTTGTTACAGTTATTAGGGTATCAGAATAACCGGGTTGGAAAGGACTTTGGAGGTCCTCCAGTCCAGCCCCCTGCTTAGGCAGGAACCCTACACCACTTCAGACAAATGGTTGTCCAATCTCTTCTTAAAAACCTCCAGTGTTTGAGCATACACAACTTCTGGAGGCAAGCCATTCCACTGATTAATTGTTCTAACTGTCAGGAAATATCTTCTTTGTTCTGGGTTGGTTCTCTCCTTGATTCATACAGTCGTTAATCAAATTTGGATTCCCCCAATCACTTTGCTTGTCAGAAACTGGCTGGGAAGATTGTAAATGGTGATAACATGATCCCCCTGGATGCTGCCACTGTGTAACTATGTAAATATGTCCAGTTGCCAAACACCTAAATTTTGATCACAACATCATGGGAATGTTGCAATGGTTGTGTGAGGACTTTTGTGTGAAGTGACATTTTTCCGTGCCCTTGTAACTTTGAAGGATTGCTAAATGAATGGTTGTGACTTGAGGACTACGTGCAATTCTATCTAGAGTGGGGGTCCCAACCCCCAGTCTGAAGACCAGCATTGGTCCTCATAAACAAGCAAAGCTCCATTCAAGGCAGTACATGGAACTACACCCCACCCCCGTCTGTAGAAAAATCTCTCTGCACAGAACAGGACCTGGTGCCCAAAAGGTTGGGGGCCTTTGTTCTAGAGACACCTATATTATATTATAGATGCTTTCTCTTCCACTTCCATGCACCAAGCCTATTGCATCCAATGTGCCTTTGTTGCCTCTTTTTTGGACCTAGCTTCTCTGGCAACTGTTTCCTAAGTGTTGCTAAAGCTGTGCTGTTTTCAGACACATTTCCAAAAACAGCACAGCTGTAGTAGACACCTCAGAAAGTTGTGTTGTCTTCGGAGAAGTTTCCCGCCTCTTTTCCATATCCAAAATGGCGAAAGCTGCACCATCTTTAGAAACCTTTCTGAAGACAACTCAGTTTTCCAAACTGGCTAAAGCTGTGCTGTCTTTGGAAATCTCTCCCCCACTCCCCTCCCAAATTTCTGAAGTGGTGAGGTGCTGTGCACAAAAGGTGAAAGTTTGGTGTGGCAAACTGGGAAAGAAGGCAGCTGGGTGGATGAATCCTTGCTGCTCACTGAAAGCAAATAAGTGCTTGCGGCTTGTTGAGGGAATGGATTAGGGAGTCCCATGGGCCTGGGGGAAAAAAGCAACTGGGGAAATTAATGCTTACTGGTGATTGTTGAGGTTTCCTGAAGCACGGCAAGTAGCCACAGAGTCACACAGTTTTGGGATTGCTTGTCACCTCAAAAGGACAGGAATGGGAGGGGAAAGAGGTGGGTGGGGGAATTGAAATAAGCCCCTTATCTTACCAAGGGGTTGGGGATGAAAGGGACCAAGCCCAGAATGGGTTGGATTGGGGGTGGGCCCTCATTTAACAACAAGGGATTCTTGGTTAATATCCATATTGGGGAGAGCTAGGATTGCTGTCGTAAGCCGATGCACTCACATGATGCAACTACATCAATTTACAGTGGAAATTCTGGTCGCAATTTTGGTCGTAACTTGAGGACTACCTGTACACATCACAGAATAATTACTTCAATTAGATGAAAATTTTCAATTTCAATTTTAGTAGACAATGGAATAAGCAAGAGGAACATATATTTGTATGGCATATTGTCATGTACTATTAT